TAGAATAGATTAATAGAGTGGGTCATTTACAGTTTCAAGTATTTTTTGAATGTAGTTTTTGTTTCATATTATTAAAGCTGAGCCTATTATTAATGGTCATTGTCAATGAAGTTTGAGTTTAATTGTATACTGATCAGAAGATATTACTGTGAAGTATTTCATTCTGAAAAATTTTATCAAATTGTGTAGTTCAGTTAGATTTTCCTTTCTTTGGCTACCTTACCGATTATTTTTCACTATTTTTTATAGTTGTAGAGATATGGTACTCTAGGTTAAATTAAATTCCAGAATAGTTAGAGAGATTTTTTTTTTTTTTAAAGTAAAGAACTGTGGCTCAACGTTGGGTAGTAAGAGCAAAGAAATAACAGAAATGTTTCAAATTTCTAGCAAGTATTTCAAAGAAAACAAAAATTATATCTTCATACTATCACTAAATTGATAATCAGCAGATAGGATAGAACCTATGTTGATTACTCATTTAGAACAATTTTGATTATTTTAAATTAAATAGGAAACTTTAAAATCTGTCTTTTTCTTTTTTTTTTTTTTTTTTTTTTTTTGAGACGGAGTCTCGCTGTGTCCCCCAGGCTGGAGTGCAATGGCGCGATCTTGGCTCACTGCAAGCTCCGCCTCCCGGGATCCCGCCATTCTCCTGCCTCAGCCTCCTGAGTAGCTGGGACTTCAGGCGCCCGCCATCGCGCCCGGCTAATTTTTTTGTATTTTTAGTAGAGACGGGGTTTCACCGTGTTAGCCAGGATGGTCTCGATCTCCTGACCTTGTGATCCGCCCGCCTCGGCCTCCCAAAGTACTGGGATTACAGGCGTGAGCCACCGCGCCCGGCCAATCTGTCTTTTTCTTATGCAATCAGTTGAAGACTATGGACATGCCTGTTTCCTGTCAGTTTATTCCCCAGCAAAACTGTTTATAGTAGCGAGTTTGCACTGGAGTTTCCAGAGTTCAAACCCAGGTTCCACAATATGACTCTGGGGAACTTATCCTACAAAAGCCTTATTTTAGCTTTACAAATACAAGTGTCAATAGTGCCTATACTTTTGTGTTTTATAAACAGTAAATAATCAAGTAAAGTCCTTTGCACAGTTTGAGGACATATTGACTGCTCAGTAAACATAAGCAAGCTCTCATCATTACTTAGCGGCAGAATGTAATCATTATACGTAGATGGTTTTCTTTTCTGTCAATTACTAACAACGCAATTAATTCTTAGGTATCAATCTTTTATATAGGATTAAGAATAAAGTGTTTATATAGAATTAAAATAAGAATAGTAGATTTAAAGTCAGTAAATCAAAGGAATGGATACAGTAAAACACTACATAAAAATTAAGACATTTTCTCAAAGAAAATGTTCACTGCATTTGGATCATTTCAGTTTAAAAATAATTGAATACTATTTTATTTAACTGTTTATACTAAAAGAAATTAGGTTTCTTGATTGTACAGAGACATGAAAATGCTGAAATGGCAAGAGAATTTCATGTTGTAATTGTAAAATTAAATATTTAATGCTCCCATTTAAGTTTACAAGGCCTTGAAGAAATTACCTTCTGATGAAACTGAATAAGGCTGGAAGTGTCACTGCAGAGAAAATTCTCAGTACTTGGCTCTGAATTGTCTTTTGACACCTTCAGCATTACCTTTGACATTCTTTTCACAGCCTCAACCATTACCAGCTTCCTGATGCCTGTCATAGTATGCATTTTCAGGATTCCAGGGTTTCTGAATCAGACAAGCTTCCTGCATATTTCATTAGGCACAAAGTTTTTAACACAAAATGGTTAGCTGTAACTGGGTCATTGCTACTGAGGAAGGAATGACACATTTAATGTCATTTTTCACTGGCAAAATATGTTCTGTACTTACAGTAAAATGTGACTTACACAATGTAAAAAGCTCATATTATTCTCCCTTTGCCTGGCTGTCTCAAAGAGCAAAAGCTAAAGTCGTGATTTTTTTAAAAAATGGATTCTTTTGTGGAGGTACATGTCTAAAATTTGAAGGAAAACATTACCCATCCAAAACAATTTTTGTAAGTGAAAAACAGTTTTTTTGATTTGACTGCTCTTATATGTCAATTTCTAATATTTGTTCTACTTTTAACCATGTTCAAAATGGTGAACTATCAGTTTGCTGTTTTTTAGTTTGATGAGATGATATTAAATCTGAGAATTTTTGACGTTTGATGAGACTTCATGCCACATACTTCAATTTAGCATCTATCAACCAACCATGCTTAGACACATAAACATAATCAAGCCTGTTTCTCATATATAGTAGGGAAAAAAGAAATCACATCCAAACAATTCTAATAGAGGGACTGGGTACTAGTAGAGTGATGCCCAGAACACTACAATGAAGTCACAGTTTTAGAATTATAAATGTAAATCAGTTGTGTAAATACATATTTTTATTCCTTATCATCGAAGTTAACTTTTCTGTAGTTCTGTATTTAAACATGATAGTAGAACAAAACACACTTTACAATTGTAACCCAGTTACTTCCCATTTTTAGTTCAGTCTCAGCTTTTTTGTTTCTTTTATTTTCTTCTTGAGGTTACTTCACAATGATGCCTGCTCTCAAGTGAGGGTGTTTTCCCTACACTCCAGATTGAAAGTCAGGCAAATCTCTACTATTTTCAAAGACCTTCAGTGATGAATATATTATGTGTCAACTTGGCTGGGTCATGGTGCCCATATTTGGTCAAACATTATTCTGGATGTTTCTATGAAGTTGTATTTGTTTTGTTTTTTGGCCCAGGGTAGGGTGGTAAAATTAACATTGAAACAGCCGGACTTTGAGTAAAGCAGATTAACCTCCTTAATGTAGGTGGGCTTCATTCAATCGGTTCAAGACTGCAATCGAACAAAAGACTGTCTTCCATGGAATCGAACAAAAGATTATTCCTACTTCCATGGAGTAAGAACCAACAAGACCAAGAGACAGCCTTTAGACTTGCACTGCAACTCTTTGCTGAGTCTCCAGGCTGCCAGGCAACCCCATTATATTTTGATTTACCAATCCTCCACACTAGAATGAGCCAAATTAGCAAAATAAGTTTCTCCCTCTCTCTGTCTCTCTCTCTTTCTCTCTCTCACACACAGCCACACACCGCCCCCCATCCCTCTCTCCCCTTTTCTCTTTCCTAAATGTCCAATAAAACTGCTCCATTATTATACATCCTTCCTTCCCTGTGATTAATATAAGCTGTTTGTTTGAGTCTGCCAATGTTTAAAACGCGATTTTTATAATAAAGCTCTAAAAATCCCATAAAACCCCAATGGGTGTCTGATTCTAGGCACTGAAATCCAGGGCTTTCTTTACTATTGTCTGTATCAAGGAGAGAGAGGGGGCGAACAACTCCAAAATCAGAAACTCAATATACTCTCTTATTCTCTCTCCCTCTCTCTCTCTATCTGTGTATGTGTGTGTTTGTGTGTGTGTGTACATTTGTATGTGTTTCACCATTTTGGTTTAATGGTGGATGGATATAGGTCAAAAGGAACTAAGAAAATAAACATTACATTGACTACCTCAAAATATTGTTCCACTACAGTTACTATAACTTGAGAAGTAAATTCATGTTTCCAGTATCTTGAAGGATGCTTTTATGTTTTATGAAATGGCATGAGCAAATAGTAGGAACTAATCTAGAACTATGACTACCATTGTGTAGATACATCGGAAAGAACTAACAAATTATAAAGCAGCGAGGTGTAATGGAAAAGCATGGACTTTAATCAAGTCAAATTTGACTTAAATCCTGGTTTGAGTACTAGCTATGCCTTGAACAGGTTTCTGAAACAGCCTAAGCTTTGATTTTCTAACGTATATAATGGGGATAACAACAAAATCTGCCTGATGAGGATTTTTTTTTGAAAATTAACATTTTACACATTCTAGTCTTTTAAAAATACAAATTATTTTATACTACTCTTCTGCTTTAAGTGTTTTATTTCCTTACCAATATACTCCATAACTTTTTCCTGCCTCTGCAACCATATTTCACACCACTTTTGCCCCTTACACTCTAAGATACAGTAATATGGAACATTTTATAGTTCATAATATCTACTGCATTCTCTCACTTTTGGGTTTTGGTGTAGATTATGTCCTCTGACTGGAACTCTCCCTCCACCATCTCCTTAGCTTAGACAATGCCTGTTCATCCTTCAAATTATCCAAATGTAACGACGTTTTCTTGGGCAGGCTTTCCTGATCTCCAAATCAAGGTCAACTCCCTAAGCTCCTTGGCTCCCATACTGAAACTTCTTCTTATGTAATTCTCATAAACAATAGCATATTTTTTTGCATGTTTTTCTTCCCTATAAATTGCAAATTCCAGCAGAGCTGCTATATTTTCATTTCTTCCTGAGTGTTTTCCCACAAATTCTATAGCCTGTGAAAAGATTGTTTTAGGGAAATATTATTTTTTAATATACCATATTTAGTCAATGTAGGATATATGACCTGTTGAAAACCATCTCGTGATCCTTGTGTAAGAACTAATTAACACTAGACATATTATTTTCCTTGCTCACTAAAAATATAAATGTCTCAGAAAGTAGAAAATTATTCCTCTCTAAATAAACATACATGCCATTCAAATTTTATTCCTCTACCATTTGCCATATCTGAACCTAGTTAGATACTTTGGTTTTAGTTATAATCTGATAGAACAGATACAACCAAGATCACATTGTGAGTCAGAAGTGGAAAATTAATAATTCATTATGATACCAATAAAAGATAGATTCAGCTTTTTACAGGATTTTTTTTTTTTTTGGCATTTTATTCTTTCATTTGAGGGGAACTCTCACCAAATATGTCTTTCATGGTTCACTGTGTTATTTACTATCTGTGATGCATATTCTCAGGTTACTTTAAACCTAATCTATAGATTCAAAGATATCCTGTGTCAGGTCTCTAAAAGTAAAAAGAAAAATGGGTACTTGTGAAGGCTGATTCACAATTAGTAGTGTAGAGAGGAGTGCCTTGTGTATTCACAAATTATCAACCAGAGAATCAGATAAGATTTCCTTTAGTCACACACACCTACCTTCTTACTAGGAAGATCTACATACTTGAAAAATTGTTCTGCTTGACCCAAGTTACTTATCAATCCCTTTATTATAATATTTGTAAGTATTGGGGCTCGAGAACCGAGCGGAGCTTGTTGAGCCTTCAAAGCCCTAAAACGTGTGACCATGGGTTCGGGGTTTATGGATTGAATTCCGCCGGCGCAGGAGCCTCTGCAGAGAGAGAGCGCGAGACATTGGAGATAGGCAGAAGGATTCATTTAGCGCTGCGCAACAGGGCGCCCTCTGATGTGAAATAACTTGTCCTGGACAGCAGTTGGTCGAATGAAGGCAAACTCGAAGGCCTCACAGATGACTTTGAAGACCTGGAATTCTTAAGTACAATCAACGTAAGCCTCGCCTCAATCTCAAACTTACCAAAGTTAAACTAACTTAAGAAGCTTGAACTAAGAGTCTCGGGGGGCCTGGAAGTATTGGTAGAAAAGTGTCCAAACCTCACATATCTAAATTTAAGTGGCAACAAAATTAAAGACCTCAGCACAATAGAGCCACTGAAAAAGTTAGAAAACCTCAAGAGCTTAGACCTTTTCAATTGCGAGGTAACCAACCTGAACGATTCCCGAGAAAATGTGTTCAAGCTCCTCTCACAACTCACATATCTCCACGGCTATGACCGGGACGACAAGGAGGCCCCTGACTCGGATGCTGAGGGCTACGTGGAAGGCCTGGATGTGAGGAGGAGGAGGAGGATGAGGAGGAGTATGATGAAGATGCTCAGGTAGTGGAAGATGAGGAGGACAAGGATGAGGAGGAGGAAGGTGAAGAGGAGGACATGAGTGGAGAGGAGGAGGAGGATGAAGAAGGTTATAACGATGGAGAGAGAGATGACGAGGAAGATGAAGAAGAGTTTGGTGAAGAAGAAAGGGGTCAGAAGCGAAAACGAGAACCTGAAGATGAGGGAGAAGATGATGACTAAGTAGAATAACCTATTCTGAAAAATTCCTATTGTGATTTGCCTGTTTTTACTCATATCCCCTCCCCCCCATCCAATCCTGTGCCCTGAAACTTATTTTTTTCTGATTGTAACGCTGCTGTGGGAACAAGAGGGGAAAAGTGTACTGGGGGTGGTGAGGGGAGGGAGGGCAGGAGGGGGTGGACTAAAATACTGTTTTTACTGCCAAAAAAATAACAATATTTGTAAATATTAACTGGGATACTAGCTTTGTAGAATGATTTCTATTAATTATTCTTTTTTTTTTTTTTTTTTTTTTTTACACATTCTCTTAAGTATAGTCCTTTCAGTCCAAGGAAAAGACACTACAATCCACTTATTAATGCTTGCTACTATGTTCAAGTAAAATAAGCTCCATGATTAAAAGAAAGAGGGGAAAGAAAATATTTACAACGAAAATGTTGCTAAAAATTTAAAACAGATTACAGTAAATGTATTGTTAAAGCAAATTCTATTTTTTAAATTTATTACTAAGAAAATAATTTGTTGCTAAAGCAAATTTTTGGAAAAATAATAATGCACTTTATACTTGATTTTATATATTAAACAATGATGTATAAGCTTCAAATATCTCAGAACTTTATTTTAATAGCATGTTGCAAATTATTTAAATCATGCAAAATCATTGCAAATAAATAATAAAGCATACCTCGGGACATTATGAATATAGTTACTTTGGTAAAACAGTTTGAAAAATATATATTGTACCTTAGAGACTGTGAATCTATAAATTTTTTATTTAAAAGCTGAGTAAAAATGCATTGAGACAAATAACTATCATTGTACATTGAAAGATACAACCAGCGATAATTCAAATAACCGGAATGAAACTAATAGTAACATAATTAAAAACTAATAAAGAGCAGTGATTAAATGCTATCATCAATAATACCTTTATCAGTCAAGGCATTCATGAATATAATGATTGCTAGAAAACTGCAGCATTTCAAGTATATTTATGTTGAATTTTTAGCATTAATTGTGGTCTTTGTTTTTAGCATAGATTTGGAGACCTCAATACATTATAGTAATAAAGTAGTTATTAGTATCACTTTTTTAGTTCTAATAACTTTCTTAACTAATACCATGTATAAAAATAAAAGCATATAGAATTTCAGTAAAGACAAAAAATGATTTATAATTTTAGATTAATTCAAAACCCAGTAAGAGTAAACTCTAAGGTGTCCAACAAGCTAGGGACCATATATGAAGTGTCAATGGCTTACCTTTGTAGAACTTTATTGCTGGTCTGTATGATCTTCCTGGTCTGTTTTAGTTAGAAATTCCCTTATTTTATAGATCATGAAAGTGAGACTATCAGGGTTTCAATTCTAGGTCCCAAGCACAATCCAGGGAGTCGTAGAGCTAGAATGAGGGCACAGACAGTAATCCAGGGTGCCTTCTTTTTTTATTTATTTATTTTATTATTATTATTATTATTTTTTATTGTTATACTTTATGTTCTAGGGTACATGTGCACAACGTGCAGGTCCCTTCTAATGCACAACGTGAGAATAACTTTCTATTTTCATTTGTCTGAGAAATTGTTGGTATAAAAAGATTCTAGAGAATTTGAGGTATATATCTTACTTAGTTTGATTATATTTTACCCAATAGCTTTGTTTAAAATATTTATAATATCCTAATATCACACTTCCCATTAACATAAAAAATAAATTTTCTCTTTTTAATCCTTTTTTATAGTACCATAGAATTCTGAGATCTTACATGTAAAATTGCATTTGGAAAAATATTCTCCTTTTGTTTATTTGGTAAACATATGAATGCTGGTTACAAGAAAAAAAAATTTCTAGGTCTTTTAGAGGGAATACAAAGATTTGGTAAAGAATAAATCATATCCTCAAAGAACTTAGAGCTAATGAGTGACTATAAAATAAAAATAAAAGACATGGATGATGCTGGAAACCATCATTCTCAGCAGACCAACACAAGGACAGAAAACCAAACACATCACATGTGCTCACTCATAAGTAGGAGTTGAAACATGAGAACACATGGACACAGGGAGGGGAACATCACACACTTGGGCCTGTTGGGGGATAGGGGACTAGGAGAAGCTTAGCATTAGTAGAAATACCTAATGTAGATGACGGGTTGATGGGTGCAGCAAACCTCCATGGCACATGTATACCTATGTAACAAACCTGCACTTTCTGTACATGTACCCCAGAACTTAAAGTATAATAAAAATAATAATAATTTTACTTTTCATACTAAGTGAAGTTTTCAGGTGTCTATAATGGTGTGTTAGAAGTTAGCATAACACAATTAATTTTAGAATTTCTGAAATATTAAATTTTTGAATGTTATTATTTGATATCAAATAGTTAACACCATGCTTTTCTCGCTTTTGAAAATCCATTAAATGCATCATAGAACTTGACCTTAACATTTTGATATTAGTCAGTGCTATCCTGCTAAATTTTATTGTAAAATGACAGCATACAATTAAGAGATGCAGGCTGTGAGTGTGAAAAGTTAATTAACTGCAAGATTTTGACAGACACCAGGTAATTAAACACTAAAATGAAAATAGTTTTTTGAAAAAAAATTAATTATGTTTTATTTTATATTACGATGGTAAGAAATGTGAAATGGGATGTTTTCCATTAGCTGGATTTGTTCGTCCATCATGATTGTTCTCGCATTATGCTCCCAGTGAAGTCATCGTGCCTTTCCCACCTGCAGTGCCCTTAATCTGTTTCTTAAAGTAATTTTAGAAATTAGAATACTGCTGTGGCATTAAAGTTTAATACTTTGTTGGCACTATAGGCAGAAAAAGCTGAAAGAAAAAAATCCACACAATTAAAATTAAAATTATGTTTCTTACCTTTCTCTCTTTTCACAGAAAAAGAAATGGAGCTTGTGTGTAATGTAGTCATGAGGACAAAATTTTAATTTATGATTCACTATAATGCAGTGGGAGTATTATACCTTATTGTGTCTTTACCTCAGTTTCCTGATATTCTTATGTGGTGATGATTCTGGTCGACATTACCCACTTTTGAGAGAGATAGCTCATTTTTGCTAATCTTGAACCATAGTCATCAAGACCTTTAAAATGAGTTTTAGACTAGAATGTGCTAAAAGCCCTAGAACATTAAAGCCACTTACTAATAAATTCTAACCACAGAAATGAAACTTCTTAGGGCAAGTTAACAAAAGCCAATTGCTTCTTATGGAGACACCTTGTTTACTACAAGAGTCTTTGGAAATTATGTGACAAACATTGGACTACTGGTCTGAAATTTATAGATCTTTGCAGCATTCTAGTTGACAGATGCAGGGTGATTTTGGACAGCATTTGTTCATTTACCCATTCATTTTTTAAATGTTTCTTATGTCATAATAATTATTCTAGCACCGAAGATGAAATAATGAGCAGACTAGGAAACTGCCCTCATAGAACATCCACTGGATTGTCAATGCCCGGGCAGCCAGCAGCCACATTGACATCTGAAGTGTATTCCACTTACTCAATTGAACAAATCCAAGTGAAGGAGTCACTGTTACTGAAGATCCTCATTATTCCAGAAGAAGCTCTTTCATGTTCTGTGTCATGAAGCCAATACATAAAACCAAAAGTGAGAGTTCAGCAGTGCAGGCTTTAGTCCAATGGCTTAGGAATTGGAGAAGTGGGAGCATAGCTCGCAAATCAACTTCATGGCTCCTGAGAACTGGGAATTTACAGATGTAGGGTATCCTTAATGAAGGTGTGGGGCATTAAGAACAAGCAGAAGAATAGTCATGCTTTTTCTTGGAAGGGGACAGAGATTTGCTTGAAATCAAGGCCAGCCCTCTTTTTTGACCTTTTTTGGCGTCTTCCAAAAGAGGTGATTAACAGTGATTGTCAAGTGTCATGGCACCAGTGGGAGTGTCATTTAGTGTGAAAATTGGATAATAATGAAGCTAGAGTCCTTCAGAGGTCAAATAAGCTGCCTAAGAGATAGCCTCTGACCACAGACATCCTGTCTCCTAAAAATAAGCAGAGTTAGAGCTGAGTAAGAATTTAGCTATGTCACACAGGCGTAGGTATTTGGCAACAAGAGCCAGGTAGGGATACAGATAAGTCACATAGGCTCTGCAGTGGGTAACAGTATCCTCCCTCTAACTAGTCTCAGAAACTCAAATTGTGCCTAGAACTTTTCATAAGGAATGTTCTTCCAAAAAGTGCCTAGTAGAAGACAAAGGTCGTTGGCATAGCAGCTACAAGTTCCCAGTACAGTGTTCTGAGTAATTTCTTAAGGGGAAGAGGACTTTCTGGCATGCCTAACTTGAATGTACCGTTAAAAATTTTATAAATGTTTCATACTTTCAAATTTTATGATTTATTGTTTTATTATCTTGTTTAGGGGGAAGGAATCCAGCAGAAGTAGCCCCAGGTGCTTCAAGAGTGACTGAAGTGTTTTTAATTCCTTCTTGTAATTTCCAGTATTATAACTTGTAACTTTCCACTTGAAACATTTGGACAAGTGGAACCCACTTTATTCTACACTGTCCAAAAAGTCGCAGTTAATACTTGTTGAATGATGGAAACAAGAAAGTCAAAGATAGCTAACTTTTTACTTTGCTGGTGTTGGCTACCTGAATGATTGACTCTGTAATGAGGGCTCATGATGGAAGACTTTGCATCGTAATATTTACTTTGAAGCTGAATATAATTAATCATTCAGTTTATGGTTTCAAAAGCTAAATTCTCCTAAACTTATATAAGTAAACAGTAAATCCTAAGGTAAAAGTAAAGCAAGAATGTATGAATTTAAAAGAATATTGTTTTAAAATATAGTCCACAAATTCCTGGTTACAGACATTATGAACTTTTAGAGTAAAATATGAATAAATATAATCCTATACTTAGCAATTTACAAATTAAGATAATCTTTATAGACATTCTGTTCTGTTTTTAGTAATGACTATGCTCTTACTTGTTAGGAATGTACTGCAATGTCAGTTTTCTCCCTAATATTTACTTTAGAGGTATAATTGTTCTTGAGATTTTTCTTGTCATTGGTTTATGTAGGCTTATCAAATTTTTAGTTGTCATATTTTACCATTGGTTGTATTCTATTACTAGTTTCTCCAAATAAACTAATTACCTAAAAGCAATTCCTGAGTCATAATTGCAATGATAAGAATAGAAACACAATGTTACAACACATAGGATATAGTAAATATTTATCATGAATAGAATTTGAGTAAAAATATAGGATGTGAATATGTATCTGTCAGCAAGTGTTATTGTAGAGATTTCAAAGAAATCCATTTAAAAATGGGGCAAATAAGAAATATGACTCTCAGAAAACTAGACTATATTGGATTCCAACAATCCATTTGCCTCTAGTTTTTAACATATTACTTATAAAACTTCCAAATTGTGATTTTTCAGAATAAGTGCAAAATTACATTTCCCTGTACAAACTTGATTAACTCTACAATTGTTTGTGGAGAAGGCACACAACTTTAGGGTCATCATTCAAAACTGCATTTCTCAAAGCAAAAAGAAGAATAAATAATACTATTTCCAAAAATTTTGTAGAAATAATTGCAGAGATAATTACAAATACTATACCCAGAGAGAAAACAAAATGAGTTATTGGCAACATTTCTTTGTTAAATAACAATGCGTGATGACACACTAAATTAATGACATATTCTGTAAAAGTAATTACTTTCTAATATGTATTCTAACAGATACTTTATTTTATAGCTGTATTAATTAATGTGCAGAGTATGAATTTGCTCTTTGCATTTGTGCAAACACAGCATGAGGGAGGTATGCAATGGTGATTCAACTTCAGCTATATGAGGATTAAGAAAGAACAAATTTACTTTAATTAAAAGGACTTTGCATTGACTTTCAATCCATAGTCTGAGTATTGTTTACATTGCATATTGAAGAAAATGATGAAAATTATGATTATGATCCAATCACTATCAGGCAATGCCATTCTTTTCAGTATGCAAAGAGATTTACAGAGTTCTGTTTATCTATCCTGAGGTCAGCTGACCATTTAGGGAATGACAATTTCCTGAGTGTTTGAAATGAAACAAAAAAACAACAATAACAACAAAGAAACAACAATAAAAACAATTGCTTCTTGATACTAAAAACACAAAAAGGAGTACCATGATTTCAAGGGACATGCCCAAGTGGCTAGCTCGGTAATGTGTCCTCTGTCCTAAAAAGTCTGAAACTATTGCTTCAAGGCTGAAGGAGAAAAACTTCCTATCATGCAAATATAACAGGATTTCATATGAAGATTAAACTCAACAGTCAAAAGTTGGACATTCTCGGATACTCTTTCTAAAAATTTTTCCTTTGAGAAAGTATTTTTAGACCAGTGTAAATAACTAAAATTTATTGGTGTCACTTAGGGCAGAAGAAACTTCCTACACCGGATGCACATAGCCCAATCGTTAAATAGAAAATTTTGAGGTGAACAAATGCCATAATCTAGGTTTTTTACCCGCTTTTTAAGATGGCCAATTCTTCTGCCCCCAACCCAAAGACATGTGAGCAACTGCTAATGAAAAGCCGTAAACAGCCACTTGGGCTATAGCATTTTCAACTCCACTCTGAGGTGACGATTCCAATTACATTTTAGACTTAACTTCTCTCAATTTTTTTCTAAGGAAAGTTCCTGAGTCCAGTATTTACAATATTACAGCACTAGCAGATCTGTGTCTACAACTCATCTTTTTCTGCTGTATCCTCTTTGCTACTGGGGGAGGGCCTGCACTTCCATAGAGTTTGCTGATAATTGGCTGAATAATTTCTTCCAGATCCTTCTTCTTAGCTTTGAAGCCTTCAATGTCAGCAGCTTGATGGCTTTCCAGCCATTCAGTCTTTTCTTCTACAGCTTTTTCCATGGTCTCCTTATCTTCAGAGGAAGGTTTACCTCCCAGCTTTTCTCTCTCTTCAATCTGATTCTTTACAGAATAGGCATAGCTTTCCAACTCATTTCTAGTATCAATGCACTCCTTAAACATTTTGTCTTCCTCAGCAAACTTCTCAGCATCATTAACCATCCTTTTGATTTCTTCAGGTGTCAGGGGATTCTGGTCATTGGTAATTGTGATCTTATTTTTGTTCCCTATACCCTTGTCTTCAGCTGTGACTCAAAGAATACCATTCACATCTATCTCAAAGGTAACTTCAATCTGTGGGACCCCATGAGGAGCAGGAGGAATTCCAGTCAGATCAAACGTACCCAGAAGATAATTGTCTTTTATCAGGGGTCATTCACCTTCACAGACCTTGATTGTAATGGTTGATTATCAGAAACTGTAGAAAATATCTGAGACTTCTTGGTAGACACCACTGTGTTCCTTGGAATCAGTTTGGTCATGACACCTCCCACAGTTTCAATACCAAGTGTAAGGGGACATACATCAAGCAGCACCATGTTACCTGTATCTTGATCACCAGCGAGCACACCAGCCTGGACAGCAGCACAATGCACTGCAGCTTCATCTGGGTTTATGCCACTGGATGGTTCCTTGCTATTGAAGAACTCTTTAACCAGTTGCTGAATCTTGGGAATTCAAGTAGAGCCACCAAGAAGAACGAGTTCATCAACATCAGACTTCTTCAAATCAGAATCTTCCAACACTTTCTGGATGGGCTTCATAGTAGATTGGAACAGATCCATGTTGAGCTCTTCAAATTTGGCTGGAGTCAGGGTCTCAGAAAAGTCTTCTCCTTCACAGAAGGAGTCAATTTCAATTATTGCTTGATGTTGAGAAGACAGGGCCTATCCGGCCTTTTCTACCTCTCTCTGGAGATTCTGCACAGCTCTGTTGTCTTTCCTGACATCTTTGCCAGTGTTCTTTGTGTACAGCTTGATGAAGTGTTCCATGACACACTGGTCAAAGTCTTCTCCACCCAGATGAGTATCTCCATTAGTGGCCACGACTTTGAAGACGCTATTATCAATGGTGAGAAGAGACACATTGAAGGTTCTGCCACCCAGGTGGAACACCAGGATGCCTTCTCCCCCTCCCTCTTATCCAGGCCATAAGCAATAGCAGCTGCCATAGGCTCATTGATGATCCTCATAATGTTTAGCTCAGCAATAGTTCCAATGTCTTCAGTTGCTTGGCGTTGGGCATCATTGAAATAGGCTGGTATGGTAACAACTGCATGGGTAACCTTCTTTCTCAAATAAGCCTCAGCGGTTCATTTCATTTTAGTGAGAACCATGGCAGAAATTTCTTCAGGAGCAAATGTCTTTGTTTGCCCACCTCCAATATCAACTCAAATGTATGGTTTAGTTTTCTTTTCAACTACCTTGAACGGCAAGAACTTGATGTCCTGCTACACAGACAGGTCGTTCCAGGTGCGGCCGATGAGCCGCTTGGCGTCAAAGACCGTGTTCTCGGGGTTGGAGGTGAGCTGGTTCTTGCCGGCATCGCCGATCAGATGCTCCCCTTCAAGAGTGAAGGCCACATAGGACGGCGTGTTGCGGTTGCTCTGATTGTTGGCGATGATCTCCACGCGCCGACGCAGGACTAGGTGGTCCCCAGATTGACGCAGACCAACGTGCCCACGTCCCCCTGCTTGTCCTTCTCCTCAAACGTGCCGCACCAAGCAGCAGCAGCAACGCGGCCACCAGGGAGAGCTTCGTCTTGCCAACCAGTTAGGCAGCAGCAGGCAGGGCGTTGCAGGCAATGCAGCCACGGGCCGCAGCACAGGAGTGCAGTGTGGTTACCCACCTCTCACATTTGCGAAACACCCCAATCGGTCTTCTGTCTGTGCTATCTTGGCCAGGGTTGAGAAAGTATTTTTGTATGTGTACTTGATCGTGTGTAAAAACCACAACCAAATGTGGCAAAAGCAGAGAGAAATAATTTCCTGGGACTGTAGGCAGTCAAAAGTCAGACTTGGATTCTCTGTGTTGCCCTCAGCTTTCAAGTTTTAACTGTGCCCTGCTCACTGACTTGGCATTTGAACGAGTGCTAGAAATGGCCCTTAATGGAAAATTATAAGAAAACGCTCAGAATTTCTGAGCCCATGTTCAATCTGAGTATTCCGAAGGGCTTCACAGTGTTAGAAATAATTGCCATTTACAATAATTTATAGGTTTACTAGATTTTCTAAATTGAGATATAAAGAGTCAAAAAAGATGGGGAAAATAACATACAAAACAAGCTATCTGCCATCAAGGCTGAATAGACCTATGTTGGTGAAAATAGTTATAAATAATATAATTCCTACCATTGCATGAAACAATTGTGACTAGTCACTTTTAAAGGCTATACTTTATTTTTATTACTAAAAACATTGTATTGATTTCTCTTCATTTACCTACAACTGGGGTCCCTGTTGTCAAGTGCTCAAGCTGATCCTAAGCAGCAGCAAATATTGCAGGTGCAGGTGGTCCTTGCCAAGCTTCCATTGGTTGAGCCAGTGAGGAGACAACACACCCGAATGATGTAGCTGTTTATTACTCACAGCACAGCAGACAGCATGAGCTTCAAGTTCACGTCAAATCCCCATCCTCCCGGGTCCTATGGGGGCGATGTGGAGGAAGCCTGGGTAGACACTATACACATGGTGGGTCTGTGCCACAACTGAGGAGTCTTGGAAATCCCGACTTATAAGGGGACTTCAAGCAAACCTGCTCATCCTCCACTTTAGAGAGAGACATTATTCATATTTTATTGGTCGGGAAACCAATCTGCCCTCTGATCCAGAGGGAGACACTTTCTCTATCACCCTGAAACATCTCCAGGAGAGGAGGGAGACCTAGTTTTATGACCCTGGTGCGTAAGCAAATCTGCTCCCTGCCCCCACAGCAGCTTTGTAGATTTCCATGAACAAAGCTGTCAAAGTTTTTTACTTAGAGGATGGGCAGAAATACCAAATCCTTGGAGACTATCTCCCCAACACACAAGTGTACCCAGTGCCCATAAATGGCTTTGAGGGTTGAGCAAGATCAGAAGATTATGTGCATTTCATGAAAAAAAAAAAAAAGATTGCTTCAGCCATAGTTGAAGGCAATTGATACCATCTCAAGTCATATTGTTTTTAATGATAATAATACTTACAAATAATTGATTCACAAATATGGAAACTACTTTCGACACCTTAGACATCCTTGCTCTAGCCTGGAGCCTTTGGATACCTTCCTCTCTAGTTTTGGGATTTAGTCACACACCTTCAAGGCTCTGTCCACAGGTAGCGTACTTAAGAATAGTCCTTATATTATAAAGAACCTGATAATATTTAGCTAATTAAATGGTAGGAGATAAGAATAAGAACTCTTCAGGGGTCTTTAATTTAGCTCAAAACTTAAAGAGTTCTCAAATAGCGCAGCATTGCCCTGAGGCATTTATTCATGTGAGCTTCTGTCACTAAGAAAGTAAAGAAAGACAGATCTGAGCAAATCTGAATTTTTAACTGAGAGTGGAAGAGCTTTTCCTCTTCACCTCAGATCATACCGTTTCCGCTTTTAAGAATGGAACAGTAGGGTCAGATAACACAAAAGGCACCCTTCCAAATAGAAGCCAAAAAGATTGCACTGGCTCATAGAGGGCATCGCTGCTTGAATAAAAGTCAGTAGTAGGAAGTTAGACGTGAGCAGTGTATTGGTTCTCAATTTTTTACAAAATAGAATCACATAGAACGTGGCTAAATGATATCAATTCTTTGAGGATGACAGGCTTTTTAAAAAGGAGAGCCATACACCAAAGTAATGATTAATTGAAGCAATTTTTCTACCTTCAAGGAGATCCTGAATTTAACACATTATTCACATTGGTGACTATGGGGCTTCAGAATTACTGCATTTTCAAAGATTATTAAAACCAGAAATTGGCTGGGCACAGTGGCTTACGCCTGTAATCCCAGCACTTTGGGAGGCTGAGGCTGGCAGATCACCTGAGGTCAGGAGTTGGAGACCAGCCTGGCCAACATGGCAAAACCCTGTCTCTACTAAAAATACAAAAATTAGCTGGTTGTGGTGGCAGGTGCCTGTAGTCTCAGCTACTCTGAACGCTGAGGCAGGAAAATCACTTGAACCTGGAGGCAGCGGTTGCAGTGAGTCAAGATCACACCACTGCACTCCAGCCTGGGAAACAAGAGCAAGACTCCATCTCAAAACAAAACAAACCAGAAATCGGCATTTGTCTTATTAAACCCTCAATACAATAATAGACTCTTGCAAAGAACTTTAAATATTGGCTTGAAATGTGTGTGTGTGTGTGTGAGACTAGTTTTAATATCTTCTACAATTTAGAAGGAATTTTAGTGTTTATTTTTTTCTGAAAATAAGTAATTTATTTTGTATAGATCATATAGGTATCTTCTTATCTCAATGAGGAAAAAAAAGTCTTTCTTTTAAACGCTCCAGAGTTTGCAGCAAATATTTTAGTTAATAGCTCTTCCTTTAGATCAACTGAGCCTCAGATGTCATGAAAACAAACATGAAGTTTAATCATAGAAATATATTGCTCTTCGACAATCCTTATGTCTGTAAGTACTTAATGTTGTCTGGCAGTATATATTATCCTATAATAAAATCTGTTTTGCTAGTGTATGGTAACGTATCAGATAAAACTTATTGGACGTGTACAGGACCCAAGATTGGTTAAGTGTGGAAAGGAATTTTCCTAATGAAGTTATTGGAAATAGTGATGGCAATATTTTTGTCTTTTAAATAAAAGCCAAATTCAATCAAATATAACCATTCACTCAGATGCCTTATGTGTGCTATAATGTTTATCTGAAAATGTTAGTATTAGAGTCTTAACTAAAACTAATGTAGTATGCTAACACAACATACAGCAAATACAGAAATAACCATCAGAGTTGAGGTTTACTGATATTTTTGCCCATTCCCAACACCCATCCTGGGCATCAAAATGTAATTCTTCAAGAGTTCTGTGAGGAAAATAAAATGGATTTGTCTAGAATGACCTACTTTATATCATTAATGCACATTTTTAAAATTTTGTTTTGCTTTTTAAATCCTTATGTCTCGTTAAAATTGTGATTAAATATAAACAATATGAAATTTACCATCTTAATCATTTTTCATAGTTCAGTGACATTAAGTACATTCACTTAGTTGTGCCACTATCACTACCAGCCATCCAAAGAACTCTTTTCATTTTGCTGTACCAATATTTTTAGACAACATACTCTATGTAGGTGTGGGTATTAGTATCTATTTATAATCACTAAGAATCTTGGAATTACATTTAGGCATTATGGCTAACTGAGACTACACGGACAGGTCTGATGAGGCTTGGGCCTTTCCTGTGTATCTCAAATGGTCAGGTCAACATTGGGAGTTGATCATTACTTTAGGGGTCATACCACCAAGGGATTTCATGTTTGATTATGTTATTGTTTAAGTATATCATTCTGTATGAGTCTTTATCAACTAATTTCTATGGAGGTTTGTTTTCTACCAATAGGCTAGGCAAACTTCTTGCTAGTATTTAACTGGTGTAACCCTTTCTATTTCAGGCACAATCCATGTCCATCAGTGCAGAGTGTATCCTTTTGTGTTTTGTGTGTGAAACAATGGACATGTAATTCTTTTGGTAGAAATAATTACTTTCTCTTCAATGTGGAAGCTAAAAGTGGATAACTATTCACCAAATAGGTGATATGGAAAGGTTGAAAAGAGGTATGTGGCAAAAGCATATCTATAATATTTGAGGGAGGTACTGTTTTGTCAGTTTATTTCAAATCAAATACTGTAAATTTGTACCTATAATCAATGGGGTGAGTGAAGGGATAGAAACTGTAAATGGAAAACTGAAGACTTATATAGGGAAAAAGTTGTAAAATCTCATATTGCGGTGTTGAGCAAACCAGCTTTACACTTTATGAGTTTCTGCCACTGTTGTATTGAGAATATCTATATCTGAACCTCGGAGTTTTTAAAAAATTTCTTGTGATTTCCCATTATTGCCTCCCTCCCGCCAAGGAATTATAGATTTCATACTCCAATGAAGATTCTAATCCAAGAGGCTGGCATGTTCTAAAGGAAAACCTCTTCCTGGAGCACTTTCATTCTTCTTGCCTCTTTCCTCTGCTTCCTCCTTCAGTGGACTAAGGGCCAGTAGTTTTCTTTCCTACCTCTTCCTAAATGTCACTTTCCTATGATGATGTTTTTCTTTTCGTCTCTCCTAGACTTGATTAAATGTCCCTGTTATATGCTCCCATAAAATCCTGACCTTTTTGTCTCATGAATTCCACTGCACTTTATTTGAATCAGGGTTATGGTTGGCTTCTTCCTCTGCTGTATTTTAAATTACATGATGGTGGTTACCTGCTTATCTCGTCAATGCTGCATCACCCAGCACTATGCGTGGTATCTGGTATCAGCCTGGAAAAATTTTGGCTCCAAAAGTTAAAAATGTACGTTTAAACAAAGCAATAAAACTTCTGGAAGAAAACGTAGGATATTTATTTATAACCACAGAGTGAGAAGGCTTTTCTGGCATTCAAGATTAAGAAAATTGAAAGAAAAGATTGATGCTTTTGACCACATAAAAATTAGAAGCTTTTACATAGCAAGAGATCTCACGAAGTCAAAAGGCAAATGACAAAATGGGGAAAAGATTTTCTACTCTTATCACAAACTAAAGATTATAAAGAAATAGACCAAATACTCAGTGG